GGAGCCCGATGCGGGACTCGATCCAGGGACTCCAGGATCATGACCTGAGCCGAAGGCAGTCGCTTAACCAACTGAGCCACCCAGGCGCCCGTGTTTTGTATTTTAAAACTTTTTTTTTTACAACATAAAATGGACTGTTTACTTCAGGTTAGAAATACTAAAATGAAGTGGTATGTATAAAGTGAATTCTGAAGACTAATGATAGGACAGTGTAAAATTGTGGAGTGTTGTATTTGATGAATGGTGAATGAAAATTTACATATTTGCACCTTTTAAACATTTTTTAAAACTTTTTTTTTTTTAAGGTGCTGTGTAATGTGTTAAGAAGGATACTTTAAGGAATGATTTTGCCAAATTTTCATGAGTTATGGTGGCTGAAAGATCAAGTTTGTCTTGTGGGAAAAGAATTGTAAGTAACTTCAGGGAATAAACTGATAAATTTTGACTATTCTGTGCTTATATAAAACAAGTTACTGATTACTTATAGGAATGTACTTTGGGATACTTTATTTTGTTAGCCTTAAATATACAGACTAAATAATTAAAAAGGAGAAGTTAGGTTTATATAAATCGGTATTATTTCTGTATAGTATTAGCATTGCCATATTTCTTGGATTGTACAAAATTTAATTTTAATTTTTTTTAATTTTTCAGAAATGGCAGCACAAAAGGAAATCTATATTAATAGAGTATTTTATTAAACGAAAGAGGTTAGATAAGAACTTTAAACTAACAGTCTCAGCAAACAAGGAAAGAAACCTGTTAGCTGTAAGACATGTTTCAAATGAATCGAAGTCCAGTAACTGTAGACTTCAGAAGAAAAAAGTTTTCAAAATCTTTGTCAAAACAGGTCAGTGATAAATAACTCCTCCAGTAATAGGGCTAGGCCTGAATACCATTATTAATTGAAAAATTAACAAAACAGATTGAACCTGAATTCAGTTTTTGTCATAAAAAGTTCTAAAAATATCAAATTAGAATTAAATTTTCCTCAAATTTCTATTGCCTTGTCCAGAAGTAAAGCAAATATCTTTCAGCCTTCATACCAGCTTTTCTCATGTCCTAGGGATGACCGAAACCTTACTTGAAGCAAACTAGTATTTTTGTTGAAAATGTACATCAGCCTCAAAGTTGATTCTTAAGACCTCCTCAGTAATAATACTAGACATTGAGCATTCGCACCTACCAGGACACGAAAATCCTCTCAAAAGCTACTTCAGAAAAGGAGGACCTTACTCAGGAATGATGTCCATTCAGGAGAAATCAAAAGAAAATTCCTCCAATGTTATTAAAAAAAGTGAAGATAAGAATTTAGAAACACAAATTCAAGGTTCTCAAACGAATCTGGCAAAAAAATCAGGTCCAAAGGAAACTGTAAAATCACTGGTTAAATCTTCTAGTGAGAGTAAAATAAATCAACCTGAATTAGGAACATGCATGAGTACAAGGTCAGCAAAAGCTGCATCCAGTGATAAAAAAGCTAGTAAATCCATTAACAAAAATATGGTGACTGTGAAGGGACATTCACAACAAGAATCTACAAAAAAGAAGAAATTACCTCAGAAAAAGTCAGTGCATGGAACTCCTAAATCAGATGAACACCGGAGATCACAAAGACTACAACAGTTAACAGAAGTTTCAACAAGGTCTCTGCGTAATAGAGAAATTCAGGGTCAGGTTCAAGCAGTTAAACAGACTTTGCCACCAAGAAAAGAGTACTGTAACAATTCTCAAAGTAAATCTAGTAAAGTTAAAACAAGTCAAAAACATGTGAAAAGAAAAGTACCCGAAATAAAGTCTGACTCTAAAGAGGATGAAAATCTAGTAATTAATGAAGTAATAAATTCCCCCAAAGGAAAAAAACGCAAAGTAGAGCATCAAACAGCTTCTACTTGTAGTTCTCAGTGCATAAAAGGATCTGAAAAGTGTCTTCAGAAGAATGCTAGAAAAGAGGAAACAAAATCTGTGCCTGTAACTTCTGAGATAAATAGATCAAAAATGGTTACTTCAGCAGTCTCTAAAAAGAATGAGGTGAAGAAGTCAGTTCATACACAAGTGAATACTAGTGCAAAATCCCAAAAAAGTCCACAGCCATCAGTGCCTGAACAAAGTGTAGGTAATGAGCTGGAGCAAGTGGGAAAGAGCAAACGAGGTAGCATTCTTCAGCTCTGTGAAGAAATTGCTGGTGAGATTGAGTCCGATACTGTAGAGGTAAAAAAGGAATCTTCACAAATGGAAAGTGTAAAGATGGAGAAGCCTACAGAAATAAAATTGGAGGAGACTGATAATGAAAGACAAATACTTCATCAAAAGGAAACAAATCAGGATGTTCAGTGTAGTCGTTTCTTCCCCAGTAGAAAAACAAAGCCTGTGAAATGTATACTAAATGGAATAAACAGCTCAACTAAAAAGAACTCCAACTGGACTAAAATTAAACTCTCAAAATTTAACTCTGTGCAGCAAAATAAGTTGGACTCTCAAGTTTCCCCTAAATTGGGCTTAATACGAACCAGTTTTTCACTCCCAGCCTTAGAAATGCATCATCCAGCGACTCAAAGTACATTTTTAGGGACAAAACCACATAATGATAAAAATATAGCTTGCCAGCAGGAAGAAATGAAAGAAATTAATTCTGAAGAAGTTAAAACTAATGATGTTACAGTTGAAGTTAATAAAACCACAAAAAGGGCTCCTGAAAATTGTCGTTTGGATAATCAGATAAAACCACCCCCAGACCCACCGTTGGATAACCAGATGAAAGATTCTTTTGAATCAACACCAGATAAGGTAATTTATTTTCATTATGCACAGTAGAGGTACATGAGCACTTTCTATTAAATAAGTTTTTACAGCATATTTTAGCTTAAGAATCAAGTCATAAAAGACAGGAGTCATTTGTTAAGGTATCCTATACAGTTGTTAGTAGTGTTTTATTAACTCAGTCTTGTAGTGAGTGATAGAACTTCCTGGTTTCTTTAGATGTCTGACCTTTACATAAATTCTTCTCATTGCTTCCTTATTTTCATCTTTCATTTTTATTTTATTTTATTAATTAATTAATATTTTTATTTATTTGACAGAGAGAGAGATAGCAAGAA